GAACCCCTATTTGGCCCTAACTTTCCGTGTCCCTAACTTTCCTTGTCCCCATCTTTCCTAAACTCGTTTGAACGGAGTATACAGACTGACGCAGGTAGTTCAACACCGGTCTCCGGTTGGCACTTTGTCGCTCCCAATTAATGAACAAGCAAGCGAGGCTTTAATAGCTTCAATCAATTAATCAAATTGATGGATGAACAACATGGATCCCGATACTGACTATGATTCCAATGACTGGTTTAGGTTTTTGGTAAGATAACAAGGAAATAAAAAATTCCCGTAAACTTGGAGGCAGCATTATTACGCCTGTGGTTACCACAGAGTGAGTAATGTGGGCCCGCTCTTTGCGATCAAGAGTGGACCTAAGACCCTATTAGATGTCTGTAACGTAACAATTACCTTGAACCTGGACCTGCACTGCTGCCGTACCACAAACTGCTCTCTCACGGTTGCGGATAATCGCCGATAAACGCGTTAACTGCTGCTCACTTACCGCGCATAACAGTCACCTCATTGCACGGGACTCCACGATACAGTGCAGTAGGCCTACCGTGGCTCAATCGTCAAACAAGCAATATGTCATCATCGCATCAAACATACAAATTAGTTACCGGAATAAAACGCTGGGGTAGTAAAAAGAAATGAGCCATTATCCGTTGACCCGAGGCAGGGGCAGTGCCTCTAGCCATTGGCTTGTAATAGGATTTTGAGGCAGGGAAGGTCCATCATTTTTGGGAAATTGGACCTTTTATTTAATAAATTTAAATTATGCCAAGCAAGTCCTGCACCTCCGGGCTACCCATTATACCTGTATAGCTTGGGCGGGCGCCAGTCTATTGTCTGCCGTTACTCGGGGTTCACTCATAAATCGCTCAGTTAACCAACCCCCAATAGAACCAATATAACCCAACATTTATCATTCGAGAAACACACAATGTTCCTTCAATGCTTAAACATTATTAACCAACCACTTACAAGTTTGTTTAAAATATAACACGATGGACGTCTCAATCAATTCGATTACGTACAGTATGTGTAGGTACAGTAACGTGAAGTCGAAAAGGCAGTGGCAGACAATTCTGTGAATCGTGCTTGTGACTCCGTGAGCCGTGGGATAAAAGATTACTAAATGAGTTAGATCTAATATTATTACGATTAGAAGTGATTACTGTACAGTAAGTACAGCATTAATCTATCTAAGGTACAATCTATATAGCGCTGTGTACACTAAAGACAGACTAGGAAATACACAAACGTGGGATTGGAGAGTGGGCCCTCTTCTGAAAAATATTCCTTTACACCGTAGGTACCAACCAATAACTCTTACATATTACTGTAAATAGTTTAAAATCCATGGAACTTCCTTGTGATTCCTTATTTGCTCCTCAAAGGAGTTGTAAGGCAGTTCCAGGTATTTTTGCCAACGTGATTCAAGATAAAGAACACTATGCAACTACGTACCTAGGCTACTTCTTTATTAGACCCATTTGGTCTCAGCCTATGCCAGGATTACTTAATAAATTAAATTACTCATCGTGTCCCAACTGAGGTCATACAACTACGAAATATGCAGGCCCTGTAATCTAGAGCGCTTGCATATTTTGATATATTTGCAACAGACGTGACTGATGGTGATAACACGAACGACCTTGTACGGTTATCAGCAATGAGTCATCATCCGGTAAGATGTGGGTGACACCAGACCTTGCTATTGCAATGCTGTTAATGTGACACACGTGTGACGACATCTAGCCGAAGTATTAGAGAAAGTCAGGTGACAATATGTGCGAGCGTGACTCTTCAATAAACGCAGGGCTGGTGTAAATAACACGGTCACCTGGGCTGAGCCAGGGCTGAAAATGTTCTGTTCTTGTCACGAACGGGGAACGAGACGAAATAGAGAGATAAATAACTAAATGACAAAGTCAAAGCTTTGCAAAAAACACGGGGAGGTTCCTTAAAACTACAAGAAATACAGTAGTCGTCTATTTTACACGGGATGGGAGACTAGTAATAAAAAATCCAAAACAATAACCGGGCGAATCAGAGAAAAATTAACTGAAATTATAAAAAAATACATTTCATGTTAACAAAAAACACATCAGTGGAATTATTAAAAAACTGTTATCAGCGAACAAAATAGGCATCAACGAAGCCGTAGACCATGTCAACCAACGTAGACCAATGTCATTATTGATCTCAACGTCAAAAAACAAGGTAGGTATTCTTTGGTGTAAAAAAATAATTAAATCCGTAAATTTCGGAAGCAAGAAGTTAAATGATCAAGATAGTATCATTGCATTTTCAGTTAAAAGCAAACGTACCATAAAGATGGAGCTAACATTTTGGTTCAAAAAGGCCATTTGTATGCTGGGAGGTAACACGATAAATAATCATAACGGCATCAAAAATGTGATCAATGTCGGTTTAAAAGCGGCATTAACACAATGCTGGAACTAAGATTTGTTCAAAAGGAGCGATTTGTAGGAGAGCTTGGAGGCATGGAGTAGTAGGAGCGGCTTTTATAACCCATCATTACAGCACATAGACACACAGTGATGTGATGTGATGGGGATGGCGTGCATTGGATTACACCTCTGAGTGGAGGGTCCATCATACCAACCATCGCTCTACATGGATTAGAAATCTCAAAACAGCCCAAACGCTACAACTGCAACCGTAGTTGCTCCACCTCACTGAACAGTTTATTCAACACAATTTTATATTATATCAGCACATTAAACAATATTGTATTACAAACACAGTCGGCAGTTCAAATTACAGGTTTAGACTGATTTGACTGCATATCGATTTTGTAGATACGACCCTGTACCACATAGGGTAGACACAAGGTAGCTTCGGCTTGTACATAGGAGGTAGCGTAGAGACACTATTGTCATATACTGTCCATCTGTCTACTCTTGAATCTGTGTTGGAATCTGTGATATGTATACATCCCGTTGACCCGTTCCCATTTTAGCGAATTTCCCATATAGGGCATAAGACCTCAAGGTAAGACCTGGACCCGGGACAGAATTATTTTACTTTTTCGTTTTGAGGTCCCCAGAGGCCAAAAACACCATCCGTTCAAATTCACATATTTAAGCTATATATATGTGTGTGTGTGTGTGTGTACAATGGGCAATAATGGTCCGATTTTGGTGAAATTTTGTGTAAACTTGTAAACCTACATTAATCTTGAACGAGTTCACGAACCAGCATGATTGGGCTACGGGAACGGGGGTTTATCGGGTATTTTATGCGGTAAAAATGGGGTTTCTCATTTTCACCCTAAAAACATAAAATTTTGCAATTTTTTTTTCAAACCATTTTGTAGAGCTAAAAAAACCCCAAATAATTTAGTAGCCTATATGCCTAACGGCATAATTTAGCATTGTTATGCCTAACGGTTACGGAAAATCCCAAAAAATTGTAAATTTAAAATTCCCATGTTATTCTTATGGAGAATAAATAAACTGCTGTAGCTTGCTTGTCTATAGACATATTTTAATGAAATTTTGATGTTTTGTTTACTTTATACTAAGCTATCAATATTTCAATGAAAAACGCCATTTATTTCTTCCCTGTAGCTGCAAACCTAAGTAGGCCTAATCATTAAAATTAATGATATTTAAATAGGAAATAAATCTGACAATTTTAAGGGAATAATTTAGTGGAATTCCAGTCAGACAGATGGAAATTCACTTAGTCTGCAGGTTAGCTGCGGCGGGGGTATTAAAGTTCTATAACTTGTGGATAAAGCGGATTCAAACTTGAATCGAGCCCCCTAGAAAGTGTTAATGTAAATTTCTAATTTCTGGCAAAAACTCAAACGTCCTTACTTAATTAATTAAGCCACATTGAAAGAATAGCTTGAACATAATTTATGCCACATTAAAAATGTAGCAAAAACTCAAGGGATGAAACTATGATTACAGCTAGTAACTCATATATATATATATATATATATATATATATATATATATACATTTTAAATTTCAAAATCGACAATAAGCAAATTTAATTAAAGGATAATTACTTGAGTTATATTTATTTTAGCCTAGATTTGACGTTCCTTCAAATCATTAACTTTTGGATAGGTAGGCCTACCCAAGTAGATATCAAATTTGCCTTCATGGACAGTGGGAGCCAAGTGTCTTTCAATTAACAAGCATAGTTTTATATATATATATATATTATATATATAGGCAAATTTGATATCTACTTGGGTAGGCCTACCTATTCAAAAGTTAATGATTTGAAGGAATATATATATATATATATATATATATATATATATATATATATATATATATATATAAAACTATGCTTGTTAATTGAAAGACACTTGGCTCCCACTGTCCATGAAGGCAAATTTGATATCTACTTGGGTAGGCCTACCTATCCAAAAGTTAATGATTTGAAGGAACGTCAAATCTAGGCTAAAATAAATATAACTCAAGTAATTATCCTTTAATTAAATTTGCTTATTGTCGATTTTGAAATTTAAAATGTTTGATTTTACTGTAAAGTACAAACCGTCTTGCAGGATGGCATTTGGTTGTATATGAAACCAGTAAAATAAAAACTATTCTTTTTTTAAATAGTCATTCTAAAGACCTTCTTAAGGTTGCCTCATCTTGAACTACAGCAATAAATTAGCCGAACAAATAGATAATATTTTAAAAGAGTTTTAGCCCGTGTCTTAAAACTCACGTGGAAACTTATTAACACTAGTTTTCTGAGAGACATATTTTATAAATTAAGATAAAAAAACAAAACAAACTGACACTCAACAAGATGTTTACTGTACGCGGTACAAAAATCTTGGATACAAATTAGCTTATAGTACATGCATTCGAACAAACACTTGCTTAATTGTCAATGTGAAACAAGAGATACAGCAGTTATCAAAGATGTTTTATAATATTGAAAAATCGTTAACTTATTTTAGGTAGGTACTGACCAAAAATTATACCAGACGGATACATTGCTCTTACCTGTGTCAGTAAATATCCAAAACAAGCCTGAAATAATATAAACACTTCCACACTAAAGATGAACACTGATTGTTTACATGCGTTGTTTACAGCGCAAGATAACCGCAGGAAGTCTTATCGCCACTATCAGTAACCGAACACGGTAAACTTAAACTTAAGCGTTCTCATAGCGAAACGGAAATTAACAACATATAAACACACTTGAACTGCAAAAATAAACTAGACGACAATTCAATCAGAAGTAAACATATGAGCGCAGCTAACACATGAAAGCAGAACACCACATCGACAAAGCAAGCTCTACAGGTGAGTGAAAAAATCTGAGCCGGCAGTGCTGCCAACCTCACTCCCCCACTTCCCGCCGGCAAGCAGTGATGCAACTGTCGAGAATTAAAACTGATCAACCAACCTACTTTTGTAAGTTTGAAATTTTCATTTTATTACGTAAATGCATTTAACATAAAGTAACTTTTTACTACATTCATTGTGTATAACCACGGCCACCTTTCCCCAGGCCGCGGCCATCGAAGTGGCAACGTCTGTAACACTTCGGCCCAGTAACATTTCGGCCAAACTCAAATTTCTTAGAAAAACAGTATCACTTCGTCCCACTCGCTTTTACAGATGATTAAATAAGCTAATGGAGTAACATTTCGGGCCGACGAAAAATTGACAAGGGTTGAGGAACGCAGTTCAGGTAGTAAGAGGTACATGACCTGTATACTTTGCAACCACCCTCTGGTGGAATGTCGCCCAACCGTCACCCCTTGCATCCTCTGACCTCACATGACTGAGAATCGGTGGAATCTTACCTAACCTAACCTAACCTAACCAAACCTAACCTAACCTAGCCTGTCAAATATTTTGTTGGGACGAAGTGTTACTAGTGGGCAGGTAGAGAGTTGGACCGTAGGCCACATCTGAGGGTTTCGGACCGAAATGTTACTGGGCCGAAGTGTTACTTGGGCCGAAGTGTTACGACACGATTGTGTATCTTTAGCGAATTTCCCATATAGGGAATAAGCTATTACCGTAGTACTTATGGTAAGACCTGGGCCCGGGGCCAATTTACTTTTTTATTTTGAGATCCCTAGAGAACAAAAAACACCATCCGTTCAAATTCATATATTATATATAATTTATATATATGTGTGTCCGTCAGTACCATAATTCGATCAAAAATCATCCGAGTTTGATGAAATGTTGTATAAATAACGTGTAAACCTATATTTACTTGTACGAGTTCGCGGACTAGCATGATCGGACCATGGGAACGGGGGTTTATAGGGGCCGGGGGGTTTTATGGGGTAAACATTGGTTTTTCTCATTTCTGACCCTAAAAACATAAAGTTTAGCAATTTCTTTCCAAACCATTTTGAAGATCCTACAAAAACCAATAATTTAGTATATTGAAGCTCGTCATTATGTGCCTATAATGATTACGAAAACAATTTAAAAAAATTTAAATTTAAAATTCACATGTTATTCATGTTAGTTTTATGTTACTTTTGTTGTTGTTTGCTTGTTTATTAATATATTTTGATCAATTTTGGAAAATGTATTTATTTCAAACTAAACTATAACATTTCACACACAAACAAAATACTTTTTTACCCTCCCTGTTGCAGCAAACCTAAGTACTCGTAAACCAATGCTAATATAATAGGGAATAAATGTGATATTTTTAAGGATATATTTTAAGTAAATCTTATCAGGCAAATGGAAATTCGCTGAGTCTGCAGGTTTGCTACGGCGGAGGTATTATAAGAATATGAAAGCTTGGTTACTGAGCTATGCAAAATGTTGACTCCATTTTAAATGCACCGAAATTTCAATTTAGATTTTCAATTTATATTGTTTTGGTTTTCAATTTTATACGTCTTATTTTATTTTCAATTTTTAATTAATTTTCATTCATAAATCTATCTATCTATCTATCTATCTATATATTAATAGGCAAGCATGTTTCTTTAAAACCTTTTTTCTCAGCTCGTGTGCATCGTAGGGAAATTCTACGCATACCGTTGGAAAGCTATTTTCCTGTAGGTGTGCAGAATCCCTTTATAAATTTAAATAGGCTCAAAGATAAGCACAAAAAATGAGTTTAAAAATTTGAAAAAATTAACATGGATCTTATGCGTTGCTATGCTGGTTACGAAATAACAACGAAATATAAACAGAAAATCAAAACAAATGGAGGAAACTCCAATCACATGTTTTATTTACAGTGTGGGGTGAAAATAGATAAGTGAGTACATTACATATTTTTGGTCGAGTTTCGACCACTGGACGACCTCTCGTACTTATTTAATACGCAAGCAGTTTTTTTGTGACAATTACTCCTCTGAAACTACTAAACCGATTGTCATGTTTTTGGTGTCATTGGATAGAGCGTAACATGAAGTTGTGCAGGATACTTTCTTTTTAGGGATATAATTAGAGAGTGAGGCCCTGGAGCCCTTTAAAGTTTCGTATTTCTCCATAAGATTAACATTGGAAACAAAAATTGTTATGAAACTCCAGCTGTTGTCAGAAATCAAAAGTGAGAAGAAGAGCATATGTTAATTGTAAACAGTCAATAGGTTTGCTAATTTAACAGTTTGCTACAAACATTTGCTGACTTGGTTGAAATTTGATTTAAAATGACGCCTGTAATACTTAGCAATTGCTCGAATTCGAGCAACAGGGACACTAGTCTATATATTAATAGGCAAGCATGTTTCTTTAAAACCTTTTTTCTCAGCTCGTGTGCATCGCAGGGAAAATCTACGCATACTGTTGGAAATATATTTTCCTGTAGATATGCAGAATGCCTTTAAAAATTAAAATAGGCTAACAAATAAGAACAAAAAATGAATTTGAAAACTTCAAAAAATTAACATGGACCATATGGGTTGCCATGATGGTGACGAAATAACAACAAAATGTAAACAGAAAATCAAAACAAATGGAAGAAATTCCAATCACATGTTTTATTTACAGTGTGGGGAGAAAATAGAGAAGTCTGTACATTAATTATTTTTGGTCGAGTTTCGACCACAGGACGACCACTAGTCTATATATATCTATACTTATTTAATACGCAAGCAGGTTTTTTGTGACAATTACTCCTCCGAAACTACTGAACCGATTGACATGTTTTTGGTGTCATTGGAAAGAGCGTACCGTGAAGTTGTGCAGGAAACTTTCTTTTTAGGGAAATAATTAGAGAGTGAGGCCCTGGGGCCCTTTAAAGTTTCGTATTTCCCCATAAGGATAACATGGGAGATAATTTTTATTTACAGAAACATATGTTTGTTACTTGAAAATAGTCAAAGTCTAGTACATAATAATTGCTGTGTATTATGACTCTTAATGTATACCTACTACATTTCAATCAAGGATTGTGTACCTTAAAGTTTACCCATAATGGATCTTAATACTTTATTTTAATGCTGGGAATAGTAAAATTTAGTGGAGAACAAGTTACCATGATTTAGAAAACTTTACTATAATAATTTATGTATTTAAATCACAAATCTTTGACATTATTAATTCACTAGTGTACCTGTTGCTCGAATTCGAGCAATTGCGAAGCATTACAGGCGACTCAAAGATTACGGAAATACTAACAATCTACATAACAGTTAGATATAATCAAAATCTTTTGTAAATATCTTATCTTTTTTCAAAAAGCTGATCTGGTTTTTTTAGTGTTTTCTACAAATTTTTCCCTCTCATAGCCGCATTAGATTGTCTATGATAACGATTATAAATGAAAAAACAACATTATTTCTATTTCTTCTACTTGGTTGTGTTCTATGACTTTTTCTATGTTTCCATTGTTTGCAAATCGGTTATTTCAATGATAGCTCAAGAAATGTAGAACAGTGTTAATTCAGTTTTATTTTTAGCCTATATCAAATTGTCCAGGATTTCTCGCCCTTTTCCATTCTAATAATTACACCAACCCAAGTTTCGTCTACAGATGCAATATGCCAACGAATATAACCTACGTACAATCTCCAAGAAGTGGTAAAAAAGGCAGAAACCAACCCATACAATAGGTATAGCCTAAGTTAACACCAAAAGAAATAATTTTAAGAGTTACTGTGATATTAGCATTTTCCACTGATTTGGTAACAGAAGATTATATTGCAAAACATGACACGGTGCAGAAGAAAATCCATTTTAAAATCAGAAAACCCCATTGCAAATATTGTACTTCATTTTGACACATTCAATAAATCACAATTTAAATATTAACAGCTGCTTCATTAAAAAGTAGTATAGAATTATGCATATGGTCGTAATGTAAACAAATCTGAAGAGGCAACTTTAAAGGCTTCTGGGGCAGAGCCCCAAGGGAATTTACCTCGTTCCTCTTTTGATGGCTCATCTACAGACCAAGACCTTTCTTTAGAGACCCCTACCAAGTTTTTACGCCCAGCCGTTCTCTCAAATCTAGCTGTGACAAAAACCCTGTTTTCCTCCATAAGAATAACATGGGATGGGAATTAAAAGGCCACTGGGGCAGAGCAGAAATTTTCTAAGAGCAATAAAGCATATCTTTGATCACAACATTTAAAACGTATAATAAATTCATCATTTTGTTGAAACTATAAAAAACTTGCTATGCAGTGGAGTCAATTTAAAATCATAAATAATAATGTAAACATTTAATTTTGACAGTTTCAGTAGACTTTTGAATGGAATTTTAATATTAACAGCTGGTTCATTAAAAGTAGTGTAAAATTATCCATATGGTCGTAATGTAAACAACATTGCTGAGTGAACTTTAAAGGCCACTGGGGCAGAGCCCCTAGGGAATTTACCACGTTTCTCTTTTGATGGCTCATCTACAGACCAAGACCTTTCTTTAGAGACCCCTACCAAGTTTTTACGCCCAGCCGTTCTCTCAAATTAGCTGTGACAAAGACCCTGTTTTCCTCCATAAGAATAACATGGGATGGGAATTAAAAGGCCACTGGGGCAGAGCCCCAAGGGAATTCACCATGTTTCTCATTTGATGGCTCATCTACAGACTAAGACCTTTCTTTAGAAACCTCTACCGATTTTCTACGCCCATCCGTTCTCTCAAAATAGCTGTGACAAAGAAAAACAGTTTCAAATTAATATATGGACTAGTAGAACCCCGTCGAAATCGACGGTTAATCTTGGGGTTTTATGTAAATTTAGCTAACTGCGATAGATAGAGTGAAGTCATTAAAATCTTAGTTAAATGAAGGGAGGATAAACATAATAATAAGTATGACGATTGTGTTCCCTAAAAAACGT